TAATTAGTTACTGATTACTTTTTTCAAGTAACTTGATCAACACTGGTGAGGACCTTAAGCTGACTGTTAACTCTGCTCCAGCTCTCTGCAAAACCGCTAGTCTTTTTACCACTGCTCAATATAAAGCGTTCTATCATACTGTACAACAGCTTGGTAGGGAAACTACACAGCTGCTGACAAACCGCTGGCAACCACCCCTAAGCCTCCTAGTAGATACCTCTATGGTATCAACTTGAAACTCCTACTGCTCCTCATTTTAGGGTTCTTGCACAAAGTTAGGCATCCACACTGTCAGCCCAGCATTACAGCAACATTGTAAAGGACGTTACCAATCAATTTTATCAGCCATCCTCTTTGCTGCCATTTGGAAGACAGCATAGAGCTCAAAAGACCTGCACTTCCAGATTCAGGAACAGGTTCTATTGAACAGCCATAACTGCACTTGGTTCTCATTTTGGCATCCTTCAAGCAAGTCATGAGATGCACTTGGCACAATTCCCTTTAAATTGTGCCTTGTCTTTAAAGCATTCAGGTCAGTTTTTATGGTAGTCTGTACAGTCTTAAAACAATTAAAATTATAATAGCATTTCTCTTAAGCATATTGCATACATAGGACTGCTATGCCATTTTCACCTTGGTCTATGAATTCGTACGCTAGCGTTATGGTTGCCAACTCCCTTTTATCATGTTATGATGTCCCAATCATGTTACTTCGCCACTAAGCTAGTACTACCTAGTCTTGGGTACGTACACGAACGAAATGCCCACTCGGCGGTCTGTTGTGGAGATAATCTCGTGCCGCGACCGGATATGGTCCACAGGGCCTGGGGGGTAAGTGTCCAGGAGGAGGAACAGAGCAGGGCCCTGTGGGTCTAAAAGGAGGGCCATGAGGCGGTGGAGGTCCGAACGGCAGCGGTGGAGGCACCTGGCGAACAGGTTCACCCGGGCGATACATGTCTGTGTTCAAGAGGACACGTAACGCTGAATAAGAGAAGCTCTTTTCAACCCAGTGTGTGTTTAGGGTTTGCCGCTGCAATTCTCGCCGTCTGCAGCTTCCGCCGGAAAGACAACAAGTACACTTCCGGAGTAATCTTTTCAAAATACAGTCCACTATTTTTTGTTTTGGTCAGGGATTAGAAGTCAGATGATCTAAGTAGGATATGATGTTTGGCATAATTCCACATTTGATCTAATAATATCTAACAGCAGCAAGCTCATTCAACCGTAGCTTACACTGCTGACCTTATTGGTTGGGTCATGCTATCTAAATACTTCTTTTCCTGAGATCACCAACATTTTTCTACGTCAACTCAGACTTT